TGTAATTGAAAGGGTGCCAGGTGAGCCGGTGGAGATGATTTGGGAAAATACGAAAGCCGTGGCAGAGTTCCTGCCCATGGAACCTTTCAATGTGCAGTGTGGACTTCAGGTGGAAACAGGTTCTGGATTACTGTAAAGACAGAGCTTCCAGTAACAGCTTTAAGATCTTTTGTAAAGTTTTTCTCTAAGGACAAAGAGACAGATTGTTTCCCAAGATTTTTTTATGTCTCCTGCTATTGTAAGTGTGTATTTGTTTCCATTTTGTTTTTTGTAGCCCCTTTTTACTGCAGTGCAGCTCTGCTTTCACTGTTCTTTATAGTCTGCAAAAGAAAGGCTTCCTGATTTGATGGCAGCCAAAGGTGGGGCTGATTTGCAAACTCAGGGCTCAACTTTAAGTGGAGAAATGGGAAGAGGACATTTTGCTTCTAGGAAACCGGGCCTTTATTGACGAAGTGAGAAAAGAGGAAGAAAATCTAGCTGAGTCATAGTAGCTAATGTTAGTTTAGCATTTCCTGTTTGTCAGGCACTAGCTAAGCAGTGTCTACACATGAGTTGATGAAACAACTCTAAAAGACATGCATTATTATTTTGCTGTACAGATGTGAGAGGAGCTTGGAGAGATTAAATGACTTGCCTAAACTCACCAGCCAGTTTGTGGTGGGGCTGAGCTCCCTGCCGCTCAGTACCCCACACTTCTGCGCTGTGCTGTCTTCCGGGGACACCGGCTGCTGGGGAGTGCTGATAGAGCTGCTGGCTGAGAAAAACTATTCAGGAGCTGTGGAGGGGGCGATATAGACCCACCTCAGCCAGAGAACTATTAGCCTAATGTCGGTTGTCTGTGGGAGAATTTCAAGACAAGACAAAATCTGTGCTGTGAAAGGCAGGAGGCCTTTGATGACTCCAAGGGTGATGGAATGATGAAATGAAAGATTTTCTGCTTATATTCAGGAGACAGTGACATATTTGATCATTTGGCTACAGAAAAAAGGAGACAGAATCTATTTATCTGGTTCAAAAAGCAAATCGATGGATGAGAGGCAAAGCACCTTTACATTCACACCCTGTGTACTTGTCATTTTCTGCATAGACCAAGGGTAAAAGGAGAAGCGATGGTGAGAAATCCAGGCACCCTGTCGACTCTGCCTTTGTGAGGAATCATAGTTCAGTATCACGAGAACTCCTGACAACCTTCTCTGAGAAAACAGATAGGAACACAGCGTAGAAGATTTGAATGAGGGCTGTTAGAAGACAGCATCAGCTAGGCGCCGTGGCTCATGCCTGTAATCCCAGCACTTTGGCGGGTGGATCACTTTGAGCTCAGGAGTTTGAGACCAGCCTGGGCAACATGGCAAAAGCCCCCCGTCTCTACAAAAAAAATGCAAAAATTAGCCAGGTGTGGTGACTTGCACCCGTAGTCCCAGCTGCTAGGGAGTCTGAGGCTGGAGAATCGCTTGAGCCCACGAGGTGGAGGCTGCGGTGAGCTGAGATTGCACCACTCCAGACTGGGCAACAGAGTGAAACTCTGTCTCAAAAAAGACAAAAAAAAAAAAAAAAAAAAAAAAAAAAGACACAGCATCGATTCATAGAGGTTGTGGGACACGTCACGTACTTCAAAGTCATTTGGAAATTGTTTCCATGGGCAGTGAATTAACCCCTAACGTTCCATCTGTTTCAGTATTAGCATTCCTCCTGCAATGTGAAATTGTTTCTTTGCAAGCTCATCTTCACAGAAAGTTGCTTTATTTGATTTTACTTTTCTATCTCTGAATCACTTTGGTTTCTAGTAATATTGAATTGTTTTCAGGACTTTCAGATGAGAGCTGGGTTTTTCTATAGATTCTTATGACTCGATCCTGGGGAGATGACAGGTGTATGTCATTGGGCTTGTGGGAAGTCGGGTCGAGCACTTACCAGAGTGAGGCTTTCTGGGCTTCTTTCAGCCCTAGCAGATCTCACCTTTCTGTGGGCCATGACCTTAGACTGGTTTTCACATTCTGCCCTCCTTTCTTCCTCCCTGCTGAGAGAGCCTCGCTCCAGGACAGCTTGCTGTCGGTAGGGGACGCACTTTTATTTCTCCATTATCAGGCAAAAGGCAACATCCTGGCTTCCTCTGTTGTTTGCAAGACCAGGAGCCAAGCTGATCCCAGCTTTTACCCCGGCTCTGCCACTTTGTATTTATTTCTGGCCCTTTGAAGCTGTGTCTTTTGTTTTTCTTTTTTCTTTTCTATCATTGTTATGTCTGAGTGAAATGGGATATTGAAAGTGTAAACTCATAGCATTTTCTTTACCCAGAAAAGAGAGCATAAGAAAAATGTCTAATTTAAATCTGCCTGAAAGAAAATGCGCTGACTTGTAAGTACAAATCATAAAGGAGAGGTTGAATGATCGTCTCTTAGAGAAGCTTTAAAGAGAATGCCTTCTTCTTCCTTATTCGGAAGGGGTGGTGAATTAGATTTCTACTAAGTTCTCTTGTGGGTCTGTGAGTCTGGCTCTATTCAGGGCTGTTGTTTCTGCAGTTGGTGATCCCAGATGGTGGGCTTTTTCTGAGTGTTTATGTCCTTTTTATGGCCTTTAAGACCCCTTCTTGCAGTTTATTAGAACTGTCTACTTTTACTGTGTTTAATTTGTGCTTTTAGCAGTGCAGAAACAATGTCAAGTACAAACATCAGAACTAATTTAGCATCAGGCATTTTTGTTTGGACTTCAGTAGCAAGCTTTGTTGGTATTGCACGTAAAAGAAGAGACTAAAGAAGCTCTGGGTCAGAATCTAAGGGTCTGTCTTGGAGCAAGTTCCCCAGTTCAGGGAAATGGACAGACTTTTTGACATTTATAGGTCTGGATTTTTAGTTACCACACGGGGTGAACCGTGTGGTCTGCCTTTTTAGAAGATAAACACAATTTTAGACATAATTGGTAGACAAGCAAGTTTTACAACCTGGGAAGTCATCTTTGTGGAGGAGAAAGAATTTTAGATGGAAGTCAGGAGAACCAGCGTTACCATGACTGTGATACTTCTAATCATTTAGTCTTGAGAAAATTACATGGTTTTTTTGCACCTTAGTTTATCAATCTTCAAGTTCACTGAATTTGATTAAGCAATGTTTAAGGTTTCTTCATCTCCACAGGTTCTAAAAATCACATGCCACTGCTTCCAGGAGTGTCTGTCCGTATCCAGAAGGGGGTTGAGGCTCCCTACACCTTAGCAGTTAAGGGGTTGGCCACTGGCATTAGGCATTCCTATTTTTGAATGCCATTTCTATCATGTAAGCCATGTGATACTAAGGAGGTCACTTACCCTTCCAATTCTCTGTTTCCTTATCTATAAGATGGAAATGAAAATTATATTAGTATCTATTTTACAGATAATGTTTTAAAGTTTAATACAAGAATTCATTAAAGGACTTTGCTCAAGCATGGCACATAGAAAGGCATCAGTATGGGCCGGGCGTGGTGGCTCACGCCTGTAATCCCAGCACTTTGGGAGGCCGAGGCGGATGGATCACGAGGTCAGGAGATTGAGACCATCCTGGCTAACATGGTGAAACCCCATCTCTACTAAAAATACAAAAAATTAGCCAGGCGTGGTGGTGGGCGCCTGTAGTTCCAGCTACTTGGGAGGCTGAGGCAGGAGAATGGTGTGAACCTAGGAGGCGGAGCTTGCCGTGAGCTGAGATCATGCCACTGCACTCCAGCCTGGGTGACAGATCAAGACTCCATCTCAAAAAAAAAAAAAAGGCATCGGTATGTCCATCTTTGTGTTACTGTGAACTTCTTGAGAGCAATCTTTCTACCTTATCTGTCACAGTCTAGCTCATTTATCTCTTATTTTGATTGCTTCGTTATGGGTTTTATATGAAGTAGTGTTCAATAAATGAATGATCTAGTATTTTCAAGAAGCATGACTCATACAAATATAGAATGAATACATGTCAAAAAATTTGCTTAGCTCTTTAATGAGGGAACCTGCAAGATAGTAAAGCTGATTTATCAGAACTAGAGAAAAAGAATTATGTACTTCATATCAAAATAATTTTTCTAAATTTGATGCAAAACTGATCAAAGTCCTATGAGAGACTAAAACTATAAACTTTAAAGCAATCATCTCTTCTTGACATTTGTGTCTCTATAGGACGGAAATCTATGTTAACCTACAGTTACACAGTTCTTAGGTCTGTGAAACACTATTTTAGTATGACATTATAAGGACATTCAAGTCCTTTTTTGCCATTTCCAAGTTCTGGTCAATTTTTCTAATTAGTTATAAGACTAAACCCGAAGTATTATTTATCTTAGAAAAAGATTAAACAGGTATATGATTCTAGTTTATAAGTATCAATTTCCTGCCTAAACTTATAATAGATACTAGGTCTGTCCATAATTATGTTTTCATAATGTTTCATTAAGGAAAATAGAGGGATATTTAGGAAAACACTATCAATTTCCAAGATGATACTATAGAGGGCAACCATTTAATAAGTACTTACATGGGCCATGCACCATGTTAAGTGCTCTATGGACATTTTAGTTTAATTAGTAAACAATCGTGTGAGGTACGTATTATTATCCCCATTTTGAAAATCAAGTAAATGAGTCTCAGTGAGGTTAAATAATTTAGTCAAGATTATGCAGCCAGCATGAGTCAGAATTGAAATTCAGTCTGATCCTGAGTTTTACATTCCCTCCTGTGCCCTGTTATACTACCGAAGTCTTAAACTCGGAGAAATTTACAAGCATGTTTCTAGTTAAACACACACATGAATGGTTTTAGTTTTGCTTGTATGACAGAGCATGTGCAAAATGGTCCTTTTTCTTTTAACCATTTTGAAACTGCCAGCGATAAGTGACCTTTCTGTTCCCTACTCACAGAATTAAAACATACATGTTTTAAAGAAAAATAAAATCATTCTGTTTAGCTCTTGGAAGCCTCTGTTTCTCACACTGTTTTCTTTGTAACTTATTTATCTTTCTTATATCTCTTCTGGCCCCCGATATGCCTGTAGGTGGGCTGGATCCTTTCTATCCTGGATGAACTGCAGCTGAGCCCTCAGCCTCCCGTGGGGGTCCTTCCTCTGGGGACTGGGAATGACCTGGCTCGAACTCTCAACTGGGGAGGGGTAAGAACTGCTCTCGGGGACTGCCCATATCATCAAACAACAAACTGAATTCCAGATCCACTGATGTTCTAATGGAAGCGGGGGGTGGTAACTGCTGCTGTTGTCCAAGGCATAAGTTATAGTTTGGAATCAAAGTGCCCTTGAGCCCTTATTTGGTCTGGTAGCTTCTTCAGTTTAAACTTATAATCAGCTAGAAGGGAAAGGAAAGCTTAGTATGAGAGAAATAATAGTGGTTAGTACATAGGCCTGCGGCTTTTTGAGGTATCCACTAAAAGATAGTTCGTGAGTTTGGCCTCAAGTCTGTGTGTAAAAGGATCATACAGACTTCAGTTAATCCAGACTGTCAGCCCCAGCTATGATAGCAAATCTGGCTCAACTTTACACGCCTGACTTGGGAGAGTTATGACTTTTTTTTTGAACATTTTTTTTTTTTTTATTAGTGCCATCAGAGCTTTGGCTGTATAGGTACTTACCTGTCCTTTCCACAATGAAGCCAACTTCAGGCAAGCTTGGGGGAAATTGTTCTGCAGTTGCTAAACAGCCATTTATTTCCTTATGTATTTTATAGTACTAAGATAGTAGGAAGGCACACCATATATACATATGCTGTGTATATATACATATATATACACATATACAGCCCCACCAACATTTATTTATTTATTTTTGAGACAGAGTCTCGTTCTGTCGCCAGGCTAAAGTGCAGTGGTGAATCTCAGCTCACTGCAACCTCCGCCTCCCAGGTTCAAGCAATTCTCCTGCCTCAGCCTCCCGAGTAGCTGGGATTACAGGTGCCCGCCACCCTGTGCAGCATTTTTTTAAGTTTTGTATGTTTATTAGAGACAGGGTTTCACCATGTTGGCCAGGCTGGTCTCGAACTCCTGACCTCGTGATCCACCAGCCCCGGCCTTCCAAAGTGCTGGGATTACAGGCGTGAGTCACTGCACCTGGCCCCCACCAACTTTTTATCTGCTCATAGGAGAGCATTACCTGGGCTGGGCTTTGTGAAAATTATATTCAGATGCTTAGCAGATGTTAGTTGACCTTTGGGCAGATTAATCTTCCACAGGTCTTTTTTTAAAGTAGGTAGTGTAGAAATAAAAAATGTATTTACATGGGGCAACTAAGGTTATTATCAGTGTTAACTTCTCCATTCCAAATCAGGGCCTTGAATATTGAGGACAGTCTATCTTGCTGTCAGTCATGGATCTTCAAGGATTAAGTAGCTCCCTAACAGGGCCATTCCTCAGTGAGACTTGCCTAAGGTCTTGGGAAGAATGGTGTCCTCCAAGGAGGTCAGGGAGAGGTGGTTGAGAGGGAATGTTAATAGACAAACCTTGTCAATCCCATCCCTCCTTGATTCTTTCCTTGCCTCTCCAAACACATTTGTTTTGTGTTTCTCCCAAATTCCTCTAGTGAGAGCCACGAGGAGCCCTGTTTTTTACTCTGATAAAAGTAGCCATCCAGCCTCCAGTATGACCCTTAATGTGTACCGGAGACTATTGGTTCTTGCTGTTGACAAAAAATATTCCTGAGCTCAAACCAGCCAGAGCTAGTGTTTCTATGTATCTTACAGTATTGTCTCAAATTTACCTCAAGGTGAAAAATTTGCTCTCCAAACCTTGCTAATTACAAAATAAACAGAATATAGTGGCTTGACTCTTCCTTGCATAAAATAGCATTGGCTTCCCTGTTCTCCACTCTGGGCAGCAGTGGATATGTTCTCTGATTCCTCAGGGCTACACTGATGAGCCTGTTTCTAAGATCCTGTGCCAAGTGGAAGATGGGACAATTGTACAGCTAGATCGCTGGAACCTCCATGTGGAAAGAAACCCCGACTTGCCTCCAGAAGAACTTGAAGATGGCGTATGTAAGGTTAGAGTTTTTTGTTCTTCAGAAAGGAACCCTGGAGCATCGGCCTGAGCTACACGAAATAAATTCCTGGCTGGAGAGTCACGTGCTGATGAATTCCTATGAGATAATGTGATCGTATTTGAGTTGATGGCTACTAGGGCTATGGGTATAGTAGTACCACCTAATGATTCTGCCCCAATGACCTCTAAAGACCTAGATTCCATACCTGCTTCCAAAGCTCAGGGAGCTCTTCTCTGTCTTCAGCCTCTGCACTAGAAAGGCATGTATTCTGTCTTAATCATTCATGTTACTAGCAAATAACTTATGAGAAGATGAATAAATATGTTAATTTGGAAGCAATGGGAGCTTATTCTTTCAGTAGAAGTACAACCTCCTGAGATTTCAGGCCTGCTATAAAATATATCGTATGTTGAGGAAGTATTAACTATGGCAATTTTATCACTTTGGTGGGACTTGAAGATACCTCAATAAATGTTTTGACTTCATGTTATTTAAAAAAAATTGACTTAATTTAGATTCAAGCTGCATGTGTGCAAGTTTGTTTCATGGACATATTACATGATGCTGAGGTTTGGGATATGATTGATCCCATCACCCAGATAGTGAGCATAGTAACCAACAGGTTTTCAATGCTTGCACCTCTCCTTCCCTCCCCACTCTAGTGGTCCCCAGTGTCTATTGTTGCCATCTTTATGTCCAGACTTCATGTTTTCTTTTAGTGATTGAGCTTTTATTTCAACCAAAAAGCCAACCAAGGGATATATTAATAGTTGTGATTAGTACTGTGAGCCTTCAGTTGATCCTTCGGTTCTAAGTTATGGCCTCAATTTCAGATAAATTTGGGAGGCTGCTGAGTAGCCACTTCCCTCATATTACTTTCCACTTTCCTTCTGCGATTGAAGTTTCAAACTCTGTATGTGTAAGAATCTCCAGGTGTGTTTGTTAAAATGCAGATTACAAGGCCCAGTCCCCAGAGATTCTGATTAAGTAAATGCAAGTTAAGGACCAGGCATCTGGACTTTAAATAGTATCCCAGTTATAGTGAACCATGCCATTTATTGAGGCTAAGATTTCATGGATGTTTCAGGCTTATAATAGATTAAACCCCATATCATTTTAGATTTAGATCAAACCAACACCTATTAGCATCCTGATCCTGATCAATTTAATTACATATATTATAATTTAATAGATGTTCAGGTTTCTTACTTGGCTAAATGAGATTAAAACATGTTTTACTCTGTCTTTATGGTTTTTTCACCTAAACTAAGATCCTGAAATTCTAGTAGATTTCTAGTAGATATCATGATTGCTCAGCTGAATTCAAGTTTATAATGTCACAATGTTGTTTAAACAACAAGTATCATCTTGAGATGTGATGCTTTTTTATAATGTGTTTGACTTATAGAAATTGGATAGAAAACAGCTGAAATATAAAGAAGAGTACCATATGGATATTTTAAGTTTCTTTTCCTACTAAACTTGGAATGGTTAGATGTGCAATAGAAATCCATATTTAATTCTCTTTCCAACAGCTTAAGAAATGGAAAGACTTCTTGGTGTAGCCAGGGAACACCAATCCAGATCAATCCAGATAATTAAAGGGTTTTTTAAAAAAGGGTTTTTAAAGAGATGTATGGGAAACTGGGGCAAGTTTTCCTGGAAAATATAAATAACTTAAAAACAGACTAAAGTGGGATATGATTTAGGTGATGGTGACCAGATGTTCTCCTTAGTTATCAGTAGATGTTAAGACGTGGGTTAGAATTGTGGCCAAAAGAACATAAATGGTAGAGGAGATGAACATGTCTGTGCTTTTGGCAGGATCACCAACCCATGCTGTCATTACTAAGAACTGGTATTTTGTTTAAGTGCAGGAACTGGCTATTCTCAAATAAGAAGCCTGAAGAGTGAGACATGATTTTGGCATTGTTCTATGTGTTTAGTTTCTCTCCTGGTCCTTCATTTAGTTGAGACCATTTCTAAGGGTTCACTTGGACTCTGAATCATTCATTACATAGGCTTTGAATCAAGAGCTTCCATGTGGGGTCATTCCTTACTTTCATTAGAGACCAAGCCAGTCCAATTTTCTTTTTTCTGCTTTTATATCTCTCTTGCTCTCTCTCTTATTTCACTTTTCTCTTAATGAAAGAAAATTCTCCTTGTAGTGAAACAGAAAATCTTGCTGATCAAGGGGCATATGAAATACTGTAAAAAACATACTTTTGAAATCTTGAGGGTTAAAACACTTATCTCTCAGAGAAGACAGGTACAGTTCAATTTGGGACACAAACCAGATAATTCGCTGGAAACATTTCTCATCTTTATTTACTTTAATATTTACCTTTCACTTGAGTTGCAGAAGGAAAAGTGGGAGAACCAGCCATTCCCATTCTCGCATTTTCCACATGCTTTCGTAATTATTGTAACATTGAACTGAAGCTTAAAATCACATTAGTTTTGCAGATTTAATGCAGGATTTGAGGCTGCAGAGTTCTCTTCATTCAACTTGCACTGGTAACAGCCAGAGACCCAAAGGACTTTAGGAAGGAAAGTTAAAGCTTACATTGCATCTATGTGGCTGTGTTTTCAGATTTCATGGTCATAATAAAGATATAAGGGTTGATAGATTAAACGAGAACTTGAATAATACTAATATGTATTTTTGTTGTTGTTTTTCTCTCTAGGCCAGCAGTAACTGAATGAGTCACATTGCCCTATTTTTTTTTTTTTGAGACGGAGTCTTGCTCTGTCACCCAGGCTGGAGTGCAGTGGCACGATCTCGGCTCACTGCAGGCTCCGCCTCCCGGGTTCCCACCATTCTCCTGCCTCAGCCTCCTGAGTAGCTGGGACTACAGGCGCCCGCTACTATGCCCGGCTAATTTTTTTTGTATTCTTTAGTAGAGACGGGGTTTCACTGTGTTAGCCAGGATGGTCTCTATCTCCTGACCTCGTGATCCTCCCGCCTCGGCCTCCCAGAGTGCTGGGATTACAGGCGTGAGCCACCGTGCCCGGCCACATTGCCCTATTTTTTATATGACTTATGTAAAAAAAAAAAAAAGTGTGTGTGTGTGTTTGTGTGTGTGTGTGTGTGTGTATATATATATAGAAAGAGAGAGAGAGAAAGATAAAATAGGTGATGGGTAAACAAGTTAAATATTCATTTTACATTACAGTATTGGTTTGCTGAATATAAATTCTTGAAAAAAGTGTATCCACTGAATAAATTGGTTAGACATTATCTTTACAATTGAATTTACTTTCTAGGTCTGCTTAGTGAATTCTTCTTTGTAACTATTGCAAATATATATCCCTCAGCTTAACGAGTTCCTGTTATTATAGCATCTATAAGAATGGTTCTTATTTAATAATTTGTATTTGTAGCTCTTATTTCTTATACTATTTATGATTCTTGAGAAAATTACTTGATTTTAGCTTTTACTAATGAATTAATCCAATAATTTCCTGTTCTTTCTACATAAGCACCCTCCACTTCAAGTTGTGGCTGATCTGTCTCTTGGGGACTTCTTCAGAGATAGGGGTCCGGCTTTAGGTTTTATTCTTCTCTTTCTGCCTGGCCACACACAATTTTGCCTCTGTCTTTGTTTATCATTGCAGCTCCCTCTGAATGTTTTCAATAACTACTTCAGCCTTGGATTTGATGCTCATGTCACACTGGAGTTCCATGAATCCAGAGGTGAGGACAACGTCCCATTTCCATCTCCCAGGGAGGAAGTTTCTAGCAGGTGTTTTGCATGTTCCCTTTTGTTTGTATATCACTTACGCGTTTACAGTGGGCTTCAGTGTTGTTTCATTTTAACCTTCAGGATGACTCTGGGAGCTAGACAGGACAGGAGCTTCTTACAAATGGAACCCTGAGACCTAGTTGTTCAGACAGATGGAACCCTGAGACCTAGTTGTCCAGGGTCTCAAAGGCAGTAAAAGGCAGGACTAGATGTGTGTTCCAGGTCTCAGGATTGTTAATCTTTGTGTTCTACTGGAAGTTTTGAAGTGAGTAAAATACTAAGAAGTGATAGAGACTATTACTGAAGTCACTAGGATATTCTTTAGCTTCACAAAACACTATTAGAGTGCAACACTACATAACCAGAGCCATTGAAACATGGTAGCAAAAACAAAAACGTCCCCTCTGTATAAAAGAAACAGGCATCTTAGAACAATAGAGGAGCTATAGGTAGTTTAGGTTGAAAGAATAGGATGTAATGGTGATGGGATTAATTAGGAAGGTACTAGGCATCCCAACTGAGTGATACAGAGGTGTGAATGAAACCATGTAGTGATTTCGGGTACTAAAAGAGGTGGGGTCAAGATTAGGGGAACACAATTTTTGAAAGAGAAGACAAAATAATGACATGCTGTTAAATATTTCATCAACATTTTCTTATGCCATTTAGAACTGAGAAAGTTTAGGGTTTGACTTATGTTTTGTAGTCCCAATTGATCTCTCTCTCTCTCTTGCTTTCTGTCTCATTCTCTCTCTTAAACTCTCTTATTAATATAGCTATACTATATATCCATGTCTATGCCTGTGTCTATATCTGTATCTAGTGCCTTCTGACTATATATAACCAGAACCATGCTAGGATGTAGATTATCAAGAGACTTGTGAGATAAAGTCGTAAATGAGAAGTACTTTACTTTTTTCCCTCCAGGTTATGTAAGAAAGGAAGTGATGTTTAGAGTTTTTGCATACTTTGGAATTTGAAATAACAGAGCACTAAAAGCCAGAATTCAGATTTTCAGATTCTGGTAATAACATGAAAATTCTGATCATGCACTTAGGCACCAGAAGTCAAGAGTGATGCTACAGGATTAAAAACCATTAGAGTATAAAATACAAGTAAGAAACAGATATTTAAAGTCTCTTACTGGATCCAGAAATGTTAGTAGACTTTGACCTTCCTGGTTTCACAAGGTTTTGAGACGACAGGCTCTGTAAAGGTCAAATTCTGTGCCAAGCAAGAACAATACTGTTTGAAGAGAAAGCCATAGTTTGGTATTCCTCTCTGATTGGCTAGAAAATCACAGCTAGAAGGGATGATTGATAACAGAACCTCAAATATCCTGAGTCAGAAACACTTCCACTTCCCCCTCCCTGCCTTAGACAGTTCTTGGATATCAGATATTCAGGGGACCTACCTTAGGGCCAACATTTATGACCTGATACCCTTCCTATATTTAAGGAGAGTTAATTTGGGAAGTAAATGGGGGATTTTATTCTTCATTTCTTACCCCATTTTTTGTCCCATATTCTTTAGCAGAATCCGGATCCTAGGCTTCTTAATAAAATACCCCAAACTTCTTAATAATACCTGTAAAGTAACACAATTATCACTAATACATGGATTTCCAAAAATAGACATGAAAAGAGGTCTAAATGAATAAGTGGCCAACAATGAGCTCATTCAGTGAGCTCAGTGAGCTCAGTGAGCTCAAGTGAGTGTCGTCTTTAGTCTAACTAATCCAGAAGTTTTTCTAATGATTCACTTCCTTGTACTATGATGAAGTTTCTATGCATCAGAGTGAGAAGGGAGCAGGGAGAGACCCTTACATGGAAATACCAGGCTTAGAAGAAAATTCTTTTGGGGAAAGTGTTTTTCTCTTTTATTTTAAGCTATAGGACTATTTTAGAGTGGAATATGCAAATTGTTGTATGTGTGAACATGTACATTTATATGCGTGTGATTATAAAACAAAAGATGTCAAGCATTAATCTTTGTATAGTTTATTGCTGAGGCATATTGTATTTTGATGCAGTATGAAATGGAATTGTAAACATTTCCCCTGCACGTAAATCAGAGTCTTTGAGGAAAATCAGCCACTGAAGGGCTGCTAACGGAGAATTGATGTTGATTGGAATTAATAGGTACAATATTCATGCAGGTGAGATAGAGGTGGTAAAAAAAATAAATATCTATAAGATATTGGAACCAGATTTTGCTGATACACTTAGACCAGACGTATGGACTTTTCAGTAGCTGTTAATCTGCTTTTTTAACATTAAATTAAAAAATTATTTGTCTATGAAATATATAATTCAGTGAGTAGTCTTTTTTTTTAACTGTTTCTGTTCATTTGTATTTTCCCCATATTTTTAACTAGTTAGTCAAGAAATCTTAAGCTGAGCTATAGAAGAAAAAACAAGATAAGCAAGACCACATTTTTAATTGTGGCAAGCTTACTTATTTTGTCAGATAGTGAGTGGCTGTTCTCAAACCAAGAAAACTCATAGTGAGACTTTAAACTGTTTTCCAACACAGGCACTGTCTGCGACTTCATGGATCATTTGCCATAAAATACCTGAAGGGTAATGCAAAGGCTCATGAAAGCTGTTGTGAAAAAATAGCTTGAATAGTAGAATCTATGAGGTATTAGTCAAGAAAATGTAGTACTTTTAAGTTGAGAATTATGCCAATATATCTACATAAAAATGGGTAATTCATATAAATCTCATTAAAGGAGAATTTTTTAAAATTTAACTGGAAAAAATTTTTTAGCACAGATATAAGTATAGCCCATCAAATGGACACTTCTCAGCGTAACTACATATATTGTATTTCTTTTAGAAGGAATAATTAAACTGGCATTAATTCCCATTTTTATGTCTATTCCAAACACAAGCCAAATTCAAAAACATGTTTAATTACTTTTGGAAGCTGCATACATAGCTTACGGAAGTCATGCCCTATGAAAGTCAAAGTAAATAATCACTTCTCCACCTCCTTCCACCTTTTCCTGTTATCCCAGCCCAATATCCCTGTGAACCCTCCAATTTTTACAAAGCATCTAGAGTGCCTCCATCTTTAATGTGCTTGAGAATCACCTGGAGAGCTAGTTAAGCCCCTCCACAGATGTATAGACTCCACACTCGGTCATTCTGACTCAGTCAATCTGGCTAGCACCTAATCATTTGCATTTCTAACAAGTTCCCAGTTAATGTCAGTGATGCCAGTTTGTAGCTACACATTTATAGTCCTGGATTATTGTCCCTGTAGCACTAGGCCACTGTACTAACTGGCCTGGAACTAGGGGAAAGATGATAACCAAACCATGGGATCTATTGGATCTGTAGGATGGGAGGGAGTCGGGGAGGAAGTGGGAGTGCTAATCTAAGTCGCTACCTTTAATGAGGTCTCCATAACAAAACTACCTTTCCTCTTTCACAGAAGCAAATCCAGAGAAATTCAACAGTCGTTTTCGAAATAAAATGTTCTATGCAGGGGTAGGTATACATTTTATTTTATAATTACTACATATTACTTAGTGCCAATTCACTGTGTAATAAAGTTGCAAACTACATTAGAAATAATCACATATACATTTCATTTATTTATGTCTGTATATGGTTACTGTTTAATGTCTGGGCTTAAGAATGAAGGTGAGGTGTATTTAAGTTAGCTGTCAGAAAGAGAGTTGGTGTTCCTCATCTTTGAGCTTGTAAGGAAGCCTTGAGGCTTCATGTTGAACAAGAGAGGATGCTATTCAAAGAGGAATGTGAGAAACAAACATCAAAGACAATGTAAGAAATGGGGGAATTGTGTAGACTGAGGATGTCTGAAGAATCTTAGGTAAGAATGTAGTTTTCACCAGGGTGCACACATTGACGTTTGGATTAGAAACTGGCAGAATATGGGGTGTTTTTCATGGATGCATATGTGAGATTAAAGAGGGTGCCTTCTTTTTCCTTCTTTTGTTTCTCAGGCACATTCGTAGAAGTAAATAGAGAATGAAAAAAAAAAGGCATCCAAAATACCAGTACGGTTTAAATTTATGCCACTGGATAGGAAGAGTTTAACTAAAAGGCGTTTGGAAGCTGCATATGTAGTTTATGGAAGTCAAGCCCTGTGACACTCAGAGCAAATAAGGAAAAATCTTAGTGGAAAGACTGTATCAGCACTTAATGGAAAAGGAAAGTAGTTAGAATAGGTTGTCAAAATAAACCTTCCAATGACCCTCAAATTGTCTACTTTTTCTCTCTCATTCTGTGCTCTTAAATTTTATAGTGGAACTATAAATTATAGTTTGGAAACAAAGAAAAATTTCAACTTGACAACTACTGCACTGCTTTACTTTGGATTCTGCAGAAAGAGAACATGTTTAGACTTTTTGCATACTTTAGAATCCTTGGAATCTAGGATATGGAAGCAGGGATTTGGTATAACCATATAATTACGAATTTCTTCTTCTTTATTTCCCTGTGGTATAGGCAGCTTTTTCTGACTTCCTACAGAGAAGTTCTAGAGATCTGTCCAAACATGTTAAAGTTGTTGTAAGTATTGAATATGTTGATTTATTTCATTTGGATATGACATGAATGCCGCAAAAAGTGAACTCCCAAATACTTAGTTTATATATTTAATCACTGGACTACATAGAACTTTGGAGATCATTTTGTGTAGTTCATTCAACCTACACTTATGTATCAGGCACTGTCTTAGTTGCTGGGGATGAAGATAAATGAAAAGACTAGTTTCACTCCTGAAGAAACTCACAGTTCAGTTGTGAAGAAGGTCACATAAGTCACTTCAGAACAATAAAATTGTTATTCAACAATGTGTACAATATGGTTGTGGCACAAAGTGTTCACACTTTCTGGCTATGGTGGGGTCAGGAAGACCTTTATCAAAAAAAAAAAAATGATGTTAGCTGGGTCTTAAAGCATAAATCAGTTCTCTCCAAACAATTATCTTTATTCCAGGATAATCTGAGGAGTCTCCGTTTTAGAACGAAGTATTAATTTCATTATTTTGTAGTGACTCACTCTCCCACCTGGTTGAGGTTCCTCACCGCTGGATGGATTTTTGTGTGTGTGTGGTGTTTCTTCCTGAGTCTGTATATCAGGTTGCGGATATATGCTGCTTGGGGGCAAGGGAGAGAGAAATTTATCTTACTCTAGGTGACCCATTCAAAAATAGAATAAAATTAGGTATTAAGAAGGATATTAATGTTTCCTTATAGTAACCCAGTTAAAACAAGGAACGAACATGACCTTGTTGCACATAGTTGTGTAAGTAAATGACAGAATGAGAAAGAGAAAAAAATATATAGATGGAAAAGAAGGGATGAGAATATCACAATGCTTGAATTTATCATGTCATATGTAAATAATAAGAATAATTTTGACGGGCTGGGTGCAGTGGCTCACGCCTGTAATCCTAGCACTTTGGGAGGCTGAGGCAGCTGGATTGCCTGAGCTCAAGAGTTTGAGACCAGCCTGGGCAAAATGGTGAAACCCCATCTCTACTAAAATACAAAAAATTAGCTGGGCATGGTGGTGTGTGCCTGTAGTCCCAGCTATTCTGGAGGCTGAGGCAGGAGAATCACTTGAACCTGGGAGGCAGAGGCTGCAGTGAGCCAAGACCACACCACTGCACTCCAGTCTGGGCAACAGAGTGACACTCTGTCTAAAAAAAAAAATAATAATTTTGACAAGACAGAACAGAACAAAATATATACATGGAAATAGAGAAAAATACATCATCTTAAACTAATGAGAATATGAAGAAATATAAGGATCATGAAAATATAAAAATTAAAATGTGTAATCACCAGTAAAGCATGTATAAGACATGAATCTCTCAAACTAGTTGTAACAAGAGACAAAGGCCTTTACCACTGCTATTAACAACCCTTGACATCCCTTTCAGATGTTTCAGTTCTCATACGATAAAAGTAAAAAGTAAGTATCTTTTAGTAGTGGAGACTCTTGAGACTGAAATATGGCCCATTGAACTATGAGGATTATTATTTTGATAAAATCGTGGCTATCAAATTTAAGTAGCAGCCACCTTATATTAAACTGTTTCTTCAGCTGCCTGCAGCCTAGCCAAAATTAAACTTTACTGCCCTCTCCAGTGTATTTTACATTTACAGGCACATCCGCAATACCTGCCAGCAGACCCAGTGATTGCTGGGCGGTGGCCATATGGAATGGCAGTGTACTGTGCAAGTCACCGTATTGATATCAAACTCTGTACACTTCCTAACTGCTAGAGAGTTTTCTCTCTCACATCTCAGTCCCCTTGATGATACATGTCTCATGCGTGGGTGACTTTATAGTAGAGTCTAAAAGATGCTTTCGGAGAGGCCAAAATGGCAGCAAATAACTAGGAAAGATGTGAAATCAGCCTATACATGTAATGTTAAAGGTGGAATATTTATATCAATTATATCTTCTCTTATCAGGAGGAAAAAAAGCATTATAACTAGGTGTGAACATTTGGGATTTAGCTAGGTCTGCCTTTGTGAGGTATATGACTTTGGGGAAATCCTTTAACTTTTCAGAGGAGTCTGCTTTCTTCATCTGTCAAATAGGTGTAAAAAGGCATGTCTTTGGAGCAATGGTTTTTGACCATTGTGCTGTGACATAGAGGGATACAAGGGTACTTTACAATGACATCATTCTATGTTTTCTTGAGTGTGAGATGAAAAACGATGGAAGGTTAGCAAGAGTGATTAGATGTCTGCCCAACAACAGACTATCTTTTCTTTGTGAAGGTGAAGTCAGTGTTTCTAATGCAATAGCTAATAATGTCTCATAGAGATACAAAATATGTATGTGAATACTAGACTGAGAAAACACAAAACAACAGTAAAAACCTACATATAGCATTTTTGTTCCATTTTCCGTATTTTCTTCTTGTTATCATTATATGAGCTTGTACAAAGGAACATATTTTGCATGCAAATGTGTCCGTTTGTGTGTATTTGAAATTGGGAAAAAGTTGAAAAATGCTATTCTGAAGGAATAGTACAGTCTATTGCAATAATATATGTATAAAAACTCTGTAAAGCAGTATATGGTGTAAAGCAGACATTTTCATATGATTTGATGAGTTCCCAGAATCACTAACATGTTTCCCAGAAGGAAAAAGTAGAAAGTTGAAAAATGAATTCTGTTCTAAACACAATAATATTTATTACAATCTTTCTGCAATGCAACCATAATGCTTTGTACACTATTAATGTCTCACATCCTAGGTTTTAAGTTTTAGTTGCTTACAACATGCAACTTTGACATTTACAATGTCTACTTTTTTATTCATTGGCATAGTCATTTATAAACTCATTTCAAGTTCTTCAGTAAGTTGGAAGATGTTTGCTTAGTAGTTTAGAGTACTAGAAAAACACCTTTAATGTCTAGAATTTGATTACTAAGTTATATTTGAAAATAGTTTTTTTATTTAAAATTGTAAGATTTCTTGGAAACAGTTCTTTGAGAATACGCATGAAAATTAGGCTGTATTGAGATCAACCTGGAAAAAAACGCAGGTGCTGGAGACAACTTGACCACTGGCAAAATCATGATACTTAGATTGAAGCTGATCCTAAAGAACTCTTTCAAAATTTGCAGGGAGCTTGGGGATGCTTTGCTCCTCTCTCCAAACGAGAAAGTAATGGGGAAATTCTGTGATAAGGGTATGAGGAAAGCAAATATGAGAGCAGGCTTTACACCTTTCACATTGGAAAGTTGATAGTCATGACTAGAGTTATTCTCTTTTGACCTTTGTCACCAGTGGGAAATGAGAAAGGAACAGGAAAGACTTTCCCTTGATTTATCAAAGGATAAAGCACCAGCTGATCATGGAAGCCATGTTCGAGGGTCGTTGAGGCCAAGCTGGGCTGAGACTCTTGATTCCCAGGTCTAAACTCCAGGAAGACAGTGAATCTTAGAAGTCTAAAGTCTGAATGGCCAGTCGCGGTGGCTCACGCCTGTAATCCCAGCACTTTGGGAGGCCAAGGTGGGTGGATCACCTGAGGTCAGGAGTTTGAGACCAGCCTGGCTAACACAGTGAAACCCTGTCTCTTCTAAAAAATAAAAAAAATTAGCCAGGCGTGGTGGCGGGCACCTGTAATTCCAGCTACTCGGGAGGCTGAGGCAGGAGAGTCGCTTGAACCTGGGAGGCGCAGGTTACAGTGAGTCAAGATCGTACCATTGCCCTTCAGCCTAGGCGAGTCTGTACAAAATTAAATTTGTAAGAACAAACCACGAATGGAGATCATACTAGTGTATAATAGATACCTTTTCAAAAGTTTGTGGTACATAGATTTTTTAAAAAGTCTTCAAAATATTTGACATTTTCAAAATAAAAATTGTCTCCAAAAACAGAGAAAATAAATCACTCTATTTATGACTTGTTTGAATCAGATAATGATGGTGATGAATACTACTGATTTAACTTGAGGCTTTTTTCTTTTCATTCTTTTACATATTCATAAATCTTTTAATATTGACACCATCAGTCTAGATAACTAATAATCATCCATTGTTAGGAATGATAGTATTTCCTTTGATTGTCAGACCAGAGAAAAAATCATTTTAATCAAATGGAGGTTTTGTTCTTACCTTAAGTGCAAACAAAACCAAGCTCTGTACCCTGGTCCAGTAAAGCTATAGCCAGAATATATTTTTAATCATTGTGACCGGCATTCACTTAAGCAGAGATAGGGCAAGGAGAAAGAGACCATGGTGTGTACTATTGTCAAACTAGTTATCTCTGATAACTTTTTAGACTTGTGACTACTTCACAACCTCTTTTCTGTTTTGATTGTTTCAGTGTGATGGAACAGATCTCACCCCAAAGATTCAGGAACTGAAGTTCCAGTGTATAGTATTTTTAAATATACCCAGGTAAGCTCTGTTTGTATTGTTTCCTTGGTTTGACATGAACTCTGACTTGAGCTTGTCTATTTTCATAACAGAAAAGTTTCAGATGTAAACAATGAAGATCAGTTATCTAAATGGATAATTAAACATTTCTAGGTCTGATAATTCATTCTCTGATTTGGTTTATTCAGTGTTCTTTGTGGTTGGTGGTTTTGTGCATCATGTGGCATGCATTGTCTGTACTTACCCATCTTTAAGCAACCCAGGCACCCCTCTTGACTGGAACATCTCAATTTATTTCTAAATTACTGTTCTCCTCCTCTCCCCCTCTAAGAATGAGAGAATTGAAATACTTTTTTTTTTTTTTTGTTCTCAGTTTCCTAAAAACTGTTAAACCATCCAGTCTGATTCGAGTGTGGAATTCATTCAAAATTGTTGCCAGATGATTGCTTTGAAAAATAGGATCAGTTAGAATATTGTTTTCTAGCCAGGATGTCAACTCTCCTTGGTGCTATTAACGCACCTCAGGAGAAGGGATATTTAAGATAACTAGACTCAAAATAAACATATTATCTCAGTGGCATAAATTGTGTTCTAGGCCCTGAAGCCAAGATTTTGGAAGGGATGGATCTGTAACCATTTATTTGCCTGCCAAACAACTCAGACAGAAAATCTGCAAATACGTTGTATTTAGACTGAATTTAATTGAAATGAGAGTTGTATGTAAATCTGTGGCTAGGAAAAGACATCATAGTCTCCTGATTATTCTTGGCAGTGCTCAATATAGTCAGTTACAATTTTATTCCAGAAATATTTGCAGCTTAATTGAAGTGGAAGGCCTTGATTCTCAGAAAGCATTATTTATTACTTTGCTTTATTATTCTTTCCCTCGTCTTTCCTTTTCTCGCTTCTCCCTCTTTACCATCTGTATTCTCCTTCCCCTATTTCTTCAATTTCTTTTGTTTCCCCTTCTCTTTCTAATTTCTTATCTGTATTTCATCTCTTCTTCACTCTGTCTTCCATAGTTAGCTTTCCCTTCTCCTGTGAGTACCTCTTATTTTGCTTATGTATTAATGGCAAATGCTTCCCACTTCATTTCCCTGTCTCTTTTCTACTGGCATCTTTCTTTAAGACCAAATTCTGAAACCACCTATAGACAATTCATGATATATCATAGAAAACAGACATACAAGAATCATAGTGAGAAATATAAATAATGAATGAAGAGAAAGTTGGTTACTATGGGATACTTTTGTTGCAAAATTATGGCCCATTTTCACAGCTTGGTATTTTGTAGATGATAAGAAGTGCATTTTCTTTTCTATTGGAAGGTGTGTACCAAGAATGGAAAACTGTTTTTATGTTTAATAAACATTGGGTGTAACTACAAACTACCACCTCATGATAGTCATGAGAAGGATGGGACATATTTACTTCTGTGTTTCATCTTCTCTTGCAGATATTGTGCTGGCACAATGCCCTGGGGAAACCCAGGAGATCACCACGATTTCGAACCTCAGCGTCATGATGATGGTTATATTGAAGTCATTGGATTTACCATGGCCTCTTTGGTGAGCAAAACAACTATTTTATTAAAATGAAATGTATTTTAGACACAGAGTTTATTCAAGTCACAGGACTTTAGTTAACTTTTTCTCCTGCTTTATCAAGTTACAAGTTTTATGAATTATAGAGTTGCTTAGGAAAAACAAGAAAAAAATCATCATTTATGTCACTAAGGAAACTGATGCATATTTGTTTGAACCTCAAGAATAAATGAGTATCACTTCTTATTTTTCCTGATTAATTTTCTACCAGAATGAAAACTTTTTATGCTAATTAAAAACATTACACCAGGCTGGGTGTGGTGGCTCACGCCTGTAATCCCAGCACTTAGGGAGGCCGAGGTGGGTGGATCAACTGAGGTCAAGAATTCCAGACAAGCCTGACCAACATGGTGAAACCTGCCTCTACTAAAAAATAAAAATTAGCTGAGTATGATGTGCTGCCTGCAATTCCAGCTACTTGGGAGGCTGATGCAGGAGAATTGCTTGAACCCAGGAGGCAAAGGTTGCAGTGAGCTGAAATTGTGCCATTGCACTCCAGCCTGGGTGGTGAGTGAAACTCCATCTCAAAAAGAAAAAAAAAAAAAAAAAAGAAAATTACACCATAGAAACATCCCAGCATTGGCACAGAAGCCATAGCATTTTATACTTTTTTGATTAACTGAGGACTTTTTGTGTTTAGGTAAAAAAGAAACGGTAGCAACTTGTGGCTATCCATCTTACTTACGAATGAAATGAGCATCTCCATTATCACAAAATATCTGAATATACAAAGACATCATTATTGTGATACTAGTGAATACTCAGTTGCCACAATAATGAGATCACCTTGTATTTTAATTTTGTTTGCTTGCATTAAGGAAGGAAATTTATAGTGTAAGTATATTTTCAAGCAGGTTTTAGTCATGCATTCCTGCTTATTATTAAATGATGTGGGGACCAGTTAAAATTATGCTTATCATTTCTTCTTGTGTAAATCGGGCCATACTGAGTTTGTCATGGAAATAAAAACAAAGCTTCTGCTTGTCACCTTTGGTTAGCACATGAGTTGTGCTGTGCCTTATGCATGAAAGAAAGAAGGTTGCATTTCTTGTTCTAAACAAATCAAAGTAGGCATCTTTTTTACTCATCCTATGAATTCCAAATACTCTGCCTTAACCACCTCGAATTAGTGAAGTTTAACAGAAAAATCTATTGTGCTTATGGCAAGAATCTTCATCACCTGATTTTGTGATGGCCCTTGTTAACTCATTTCTAGAATAAAACAGTTGTCATGGTAGAAAAGATTGGACTGGGGTTGACTTACTTTCCAACGTTGTAACACACGTATAGCTCCTTTTCTCCAGAGCTTTTTATGTTTATTGCAAGTGAAGATACAAGCCAAGAACAAATAGGATTAAGTTCAGGAAGGATATATGCAGGAAAGAATTCCTGGAGATGACAAAATCATGCCAGTATATGATGGAAAAAACTCTCTAAGCTGTCCATTCTTGGTTTACTTGTTCTTTTTTCACTGATCCAGTGAACATTTATTGATTGGTTATCACATGCTAGAGCCACCTAGTTCTGACTGTGTGGTAGAAGGCTCTCAGGGATTGTCTGTGAGGTGACGATCCCTTACCTAGGCCTGGAAGGCCAAGGGGAATATTCAATGTTTCCCAATTGTCCTAAGGATCAAAAACTCTGTCCTTACTTGACCTGTAAAGTCGAGGTTCTGTCTGGTTCTTTAGCCTTCCTTGCCCTCATCTTTGCTTTCTAGCTCAAGCAGCTGACAAGTGAAGCACAGCATCAACCCTCCCTTGTTTCTTTTGTACCACCAAGCCATTGCACGTGTGCACTGTCTCTCTGAAATGTACTTCAACTGTTTCTTCTGTGTTTTCTCAGACTATATCTGTGTCTTGCTCTTTTTGTAGTCTTTTCTGGTTTGGGTGTTTTTTTCTTTTTTCCCTAACAATTGTATAATTAGTATAATTTTTATTATACTAATTCGTATATTTAGTATACTAATTAGAATATTACACTAATTATACAGGAGCAATACTGAAACTGGGTAATTAGTGGAGAGCTAAATGGAGGGCTCTTTCACAAATAGTGCACTAGATTTATGAGAAACCAATTCTTGAGCTGAAGATGAAAAGGAAAAGAAACAATCACCGGTATCAGAAAGAGAACTAACTGGAAAGGGTTACCTGATAGGAGTGATATTTGCAAAGAGGAAGCAACCAACCTGTGCTTACCTGGCAGGGAGCAAGCCAGGGACATAAATACAGCGACTTCCCTCTGCACCTTGACCTCTAGATCTTCTGCTGGTGGGTCTTTATGGAGAAGTCTAATCGGAAGCCAGAAGACATGGGAGCCACTGATGCAGTCCAAATAGGTCAGCCTCGCAGAGCAGAAAAGAGGGCAGGAAAGCCTGGAGAGGCAGCCGGGGCAGCAAGTGGTGGATATCCATCACTTCGTTGTGGGTGGCCAGTCCACAACAGGGAGCCTGTGGCATGCAGTTGGCAATGCGTGATGTGACTGACTGAATTTTACCAGGAGAAGAAGAATGGAACTTGACATTCTGGAAAAAGGAACATTTACAAAAGCAGGAGGAATTTTAGTGCTTTGTGGGAACTATAAGTAGTTTCATGTGGTTTAAATGTAGGTGAAAAGAGAGAGTGATCGCAGGTGTTCCTAAAGACGTGGGTAAGGGCCAGATCATAGAGTGCATCACAGCACTGATCTAGGAGCGTTTACTTCATTCAGCATTCTTGAGGAGTTAGCAAAATTTTTAAAAAAATAAATATTTATATGGGAAGGTTTCAGAGTAAAAATAGACAAAATAATACAACAAACTCCCCAGTGTCATTGCTCAGCTTTTATAATTTTCAATTCATGGACTATCTTGTATTTGTCCCACCTAAAACCTCTTTTGTTATATTATTCTGGAGCAAATCCTAGACATTACGTGTATACAATATATGTCATATATACATCTTATGCATAGCATATACATCATTTTATCCATCAATAATTCAAAATGGACTTTAAAAAGATACTTTCTTTTATAAACACAACCACAATGACATTATATTATTTTAAAAAATGAAACTAATACTACCTGAATATCAGTAAATATTTACTCAGAGCTTGGATTTCCAGCTGTCTCACAAATGTCACTTCTTTTCTTATGCAGTTTCTTTGAGTCAGAATCCAAATAAAATTTACACATTGTGGTTGGTTGATATGACTTTAAACTCTCAGTAGTTTCCCCTCCAACTCTTACCCATTTATTTATGGAAGAAACTGGTCATTTGTACTGTCAAGTTTCCGAGTCTGAATTTTGCTTATAGGATCCCTGAGGCATTTATTAAAATGTGCTTCTTTCTTTTTTTCTCTACTTGATAGTTGGATCTGCATACACTACATATATTTTCCCCCAAATCTACTTTGTAAGCAGTGTTTTCTTTTTCTAAAAAGAATATGTAATGTTCGGCTTTGTTTCTCCTTTTTTAATGTTGACTGATATTGATGGTCAATGTCTGGATCTAGCAATCATTAAGGGTTGCAAAATAGTGATATTCTAATTCTTTCTTTCTTTCTTTATTTTTTGAGATGGAGTTTTGCTCTTGTTGCCCAGGCTGGGAATGGTGCAATCTTGGCTCACTGTAACCTCTGCCTCCCAGGTTCAAGCGATTCTCCTGCCTCAGCCTCCCAAGTAGCTGGGATTAGAGGCACCTGCCACCACCATATCCGGCTAATTTTGTAGTTTTGTTAGAAATGGGGTTTCACCATATTGGTCAGACTGGTCTCAAACTCCTGACCTCAAGTAATCCACCTGCCTCGGCCTCCCAAAATGCTTGGATTACAGGCATGAGCCACCATGCCCGGCCTGATATTCTAATTCTATCCTTTTTCATTTACTACTTGAAATATTTCTATGAAGAGAAATTTCACTTCACTTACTATTTGATTACTTAGTCACATAGTTTGTGTAGGAAAGGCTCAATAAGTGATTCTTTTTCTTTCCTTATACATTTTCAAAATACTGAGTTAGTTCACTAGCATCCTCCAGTGGTGACTCTGGTTTTAAATGGCCTTCAGTTTTTGAACAATAATCCCATCAAAGATTGGGATTTAGCTTCCCCTAGTATTTGGTTGGGCTTGTGACTACTTGGATGAGTTGAATACAGTGAAGTAACACTGTGTACCTTCCTAGTCTGGGGTCATAAAAGGTCCTTTCAGCGTATGGGAAGTTTGAGTGCTAGTGATAATGTCTAATTAATAGGATTTTTTAAAAATTCAAGGTAATACTTAGTTCAACTGTCTCTCTGCTTTCATTCCTTTAGTATCAATCATACTCATTTATTGAATACTCACTGAATCTACAAATTCTGTATCCCTAAGTGGGATGCTGCTAGGTAAAACTGTTAAGAAGTGAACCAAAAGAAAAGCCCTGTCCTCAGGGTGTTCATAGCTTGGTGTTATCAGGGGGACAAAGGAGTAAACAAGCCATCATAATCTGAGGCAGTAAATTCTAGGAGAAAGACTGGAGTGACAGTGAAAAGAATTGAAATCAGAACAGTGTTTGTAAAATGGGGATGAGAGCAATAGTTTCTTAGAGTAGGGAGGAGTCCCTGGGAGTGGAATTGCCAAGTGAACGTGACCATCAGGGAATTAGCCTAAGAGACCACCGTATCCTAGGAGAGGGTTCCAGTGGTGGCTCCGAGTAATGACACAGAGTCAGTGAAGCCATGGATGTGGAGAAAGGGCAGAGATAGAGTTCTTTAAACTGTCAGTGGGGAGGCTAAAAGAGATGGAATAAAACAGGGTCAGACTTGTGCTTTAGAAAGATTATGTGGGTCAAGCGTGGTGGCTCACACCTGTAATCCCAGCACTTTGGGAGGCCGAGGTGGGTGGGTCACGAGGTCAGGAGATCGAGACCATCCTGGCTAACATGGTGACACCCCATCTCTACTAAAAAATACAAAAAATTAGCCGGGCGTGGTGACAGGTGCCTGTAG